CGCCTTGCCTGTCGCGGCTGGTCAATGCCTACCAATTCTGTTCTGCTTCACTTTTTGGTAATAATAGAAAGGAAGACAATAATCAGAAAGTCTCCATAAAAATCCTTAAAAATAAACAATGGTAAGAAACACTTCAAGCTGTTTCTAAACCATGATCTGCTGTTGGGATTGTCCCGTTCTCGGCCCTCAATACAGCGTCTGCTGCTCACCAAGCCCTCGCTGTGTGCTCGGCCCTGCATCCGCTTGGGGTCCCCTGCTCAGTAGGAAGCACAGCTGAAATTAAACCTCCTGAGCCTGATGCTGAAACCTGGGTTCTGGGCTCTGCTCTAGTCTGTTTCGGAAAAGCAGACGCCAGACCACTGTTAAGATTGAGTTCAAGTTCAAGCAGATGCTCAAAACTATGGGATTGGTTGAATATGTGATGATCTATCTACTCATGGCGTAATATATGCATTTGTATAATGAATGACAAATAAAACTCACTGGCATGGAAAAATGAGCTATTGCTGAGCAAAGAGAGTTTATAAATCAGCGCATCTCGTAAAATCCCATTTTTGTGGACATCCCTCGTCCTGTCCTGGACTTAGACTATGTCTGTCTACACAGGAGAAAAATCTGGAAGGAAATACGTGTTGAAAAATGTGATGACTCTGTTATGGGCTGAATGCCTGTGTCCTCACCCAATTCGTATGCTGAAGCCCTACCCCCTGGAGGGATGGGAGGGTGACATTCAGGTGGGACCAGTGGGGTGTAACCAGGGTTAGAAGAGACCCTGGCCGTGGGTCTCTGGTCTCATGTGATTAGCATCCTTCTAAGAAGAGAGCCCCGAGAGCTTGCTCTCTCTTCCCTCGTGCACAGAGAGGTTGTGTGAGCACACAGGATGATGGCCGTGTGTTTGAACATCTTACTCCCTTAGGTAACTGAGGTGTGCAAAGGCGAGGTGAGTGTTTCTCCTTTGTATCTCCAGCCCTACAGTGGGGCTGGGCCCTCCATATGGGCCCCATGACCACTCTTCCAATGAAGAAAAAGGAGTAAAAAGTATTCAGACATGCTGTTCCTGACCTACATCTGTCTGTTCTGGTGCGAACGAATTCTGCCCCCGGTCGAGGGAGGAACGGGGATGAGTGCTGGTGCGCTTTTCCTCCAAGAAAAGAAGTGATCCCAGCAGTCAGCCATGGGCATAGCCCCCTGCTCCCTGAGAGCCAGGGGCCCGGAGAGAAGGGGTGATCTAATGCAAATGCACAAGGTCTCCAACATATCTGCACATGTGACCTTGACCGTGACCTCATTCCACTAAGTGTATTTGTCTCAGTGCAGCTGGGAAACCTGTCCAACTTGGCTTTCACCTGTGACCTCCCTTTGTCACCGAAGACCCAAGGTAAGTCTCTGCTTTCCTTCATTCAAATACAATAGTTGTAGCAGGTGTCTTTCTATTAAGTCCCTTCTACCCAGCGACAGGAAAAAATACTCGTCCAGCATCAACACTCAGTCTAGCTGCTGGACCAGGCTGGTTACGGCAATCTGCACTCTCATCCAAAATGACTTTGGAAAGATTGTCGCCTTCTTTCCCGCAAGCTAGTTGGTCCTAACAACGGTTACTGATGATACTAACCACCGCACCCCGCATCCCTCACTTCCGCTCACGGGCATGTTTTAAATCCGTGTTATTCATATGCCGTGGGTCTGTTGTTGATCATTTAAACAATGAACAAGACATCCGAAAACGAGGAAGCTTAAAGCTTGACCCTTTCTTACAACCTCATTACTGGAAGACCAGCTTCACAGGTAAGCCTTTTCTTACGGACTTCTACTTCACAGGCTTCATTATCAAAACTGTCAACATATCTGTGATATTGGGGTTTGTAACAGGAAATACATATTTGGTCTTCCTCCTGGTTTCTGGCACAGAGCCCGCTAAAAGCTTGGGAATTTCCGGTGATGAGAGAATCAAGGTATTCTTTGTTATGTTAACAAGGTCACTTTTGGAAAGTACCTGGTAGGGGGGTGCTGGTTACCCCAGGACACAACCAGGTAGTTAGAGAGTTGGTCCCAACACCCACCTCTCCCCCTTCAGGGAGGGAAGAGGGGATGGAGGTTGGATCAGTTGCCAAAGGCCAGTGATTTAATCAGTCATGCCTCTGTGACGAAGCCTCCATAAAAACCCCAAAGAAGGGGCTTCTGGGTATTTTCTGGGTTGCTGAACACAAGCGGATGGGCAGATGTGGGGGGGGTTTGCACCTGGGGAGGGCATGGAAGCTTCGAGTCATTTCTCCAGACACTGTTCTGGGCGTTTCTCTGCCTCTGGCCGGCCGTTCCTGAATTACATCCTTTTCTCATGCACTTTAATCTCATGAGTAAACTGGTTTCCTGAGTTGGTCTGCTGCGCTCGTAAAGCAGTCAAACCTAAGGAGGAGTTCATGGGAACGTGATTTACAGCTGGTTGGTTAGAACTGGCTTCTGAAGCGGAGGGCGGTCCTGTAGGATGGAGCCCTGAACCCACGGGGTCGGCTGATGGTTATCTCCAGGTGGATGCCGTCAGCAGTGAGCAGAGTCGTAGGACCCCCAGCTGGAGTCTGAGAATTGCTTGGTGTTGGGAGAACCCGACCTCAGGGCTGGTGAGCAGAGCTGTCCTGTGTGGGTGGGCACCCAGCCCTGAGAAGTCTGCTTCCCAGCGGCCGTCTGCGGTCCCACAATTACTCTCTTCCCACCGCTAGGACAACCTTGCTAGTTGACACGAATTCTAACAGTGCAAATACCGCCCCCCGATCCGCTCTAGGAAGTGTCTTGTAACCGGAAGAATTTTTGCTGGATTTTTATTCCCACAATATGACCCCAACCACCGATCCTCACGCAAGGATGCGTGAGACCTGAAGCGAGCGGTCTGCCCTCACGTTCCACTTTCATTCCAGCACTTGAACGTGACCTCAGTGCCCAAAACACAGACTTTCATGCTCCTTCACCCCTTTATGAATTTTCCACACTCCTTGGGTTTTCCCCAATGACTACTGAGGGCCTCTCACCATTCCTCAGTTGTTCATACCACAAAAAACTAACATCGTTGTTAGTTGATGTACCCCAATGAGAAAACGTTGTCACCAAACACCATTTCCTGTCCTCTCATGAAAACTTCCCCATTGGGGCGCCTGGGTGGCTCATTGGGTTGGGCCTCTGCCTTCGGCTCAGGTCATGGTCCCGGGGTCCTGGGATCGAGCCCCACATTGGGCTCTCTGCTCAGCGGGGAGCCTGCTTCCTCCTCTCTCTCTCTGCCTGCCTCTCTGCCTACTGTGATCTCTCTCTGTCTGTCAAATAAATAAATAAAATCTTAAAAAAAAAACAACTTCCCCATTAATTTCAAACCTGAGAGGCTTAATAAAATTTTATTTCCTCTTTCCTTATTACACTAATCTTAAATTTACTTCTATTTGATTTCCCTGAATGATGACCATGACCATAAACATACTAATAAAGATCAACCAGGGGGTGCCTGAGTGGCTCAGTGGGTTAAGTCTCTGCCTTTGGCTCAGGTCATGATCTCAGGGTCCTGGGATCCAGCCCCGCATCGGGCTCTCTGCTCAGCAGGGAGCCTGCTTCCCCCTCTCTCTCTGCCTGCCTCTCTGCCTACTTGTGATCTCTCTCCCTCTGTCAAATAAATAAATAAAATCTAATAAAAAAAAGAATAAAAATAACTATAAAAAAAGAAAGATCAACCAGTTCTCCTGCTGATCAGCTCACACAGCTATAAACACAGCCGTTCTTCCAGCACCGTCCCTAAAGATCCCAGCTTCTCTGGCATCACGAGTTAGTCAATCTCCTCTGCCATTCAATATATTTTTTAATTTTTTAAATTTAATTTTTAATTTTTCTAGAAAGAGAGCATGAGTGGGGGAAGGGGCAGAGGGAGAGGGAGAGAGAGGATCTCAAGCAGACTTCCTGCTGAATACGGAGCCTTCCGTGGGGTTTCCCAGGACCCTGAGATCATGACCTGAGCTGAAACCAAGAGTCAGACACTTGACCCCCTGTGCCACCCAGGCGTTCCTCCTATGCCATTAAATTTAAGTATCAATTCCACCTCACCGGCCTTTACAACTCCTAGAACTATGAAAACTTCTATTAATCAGTTCAAAAGAAACATTTCTTAAACAACAGAACTAGATCCTCAAACCTCAGGATGTTCTTCAGGTGCTGTAGCTACAGAAGAACCAAAACCCGTTGGTATTCCTCCCCTGCCCGGGCCGGCTGACAGCCTGCTGACAGCTGAAAAGTCAAGGGGCCTTGAGAAAGAGGGGTTTCAGCAGAGCAATGACTTTGGAATTCCCTATCCGTCCATCCATCTCTCTGATCATCCATCCATCCATCCATCCATCCATCCATCCATCCCTCTGATCAACTATCCACCCACACAGCCACCCATCCATCCATCCTTCTGACCATCTCTCCATCCATCCATCTGTCCATCCATCCATCCGCCCAGCGAGCCAGCCATCCATCCCCCTGTCTGACCATCCATCCATCCATCCCTCTGCCCACCCATCCATCCACCCACATATCTGTCCATCTACCTATCTATCTAACCTGTTGACGAGTATTTACTGACCATATACTGTGTGCTCTCACTAGGGATACAGTGATGGACAAAATAGGCATCAGATAAATCTGGGCTGATGTTGTAACTCAGCCACTCAAGGGAACGGCTACCTCAGGAGAGTACCTTATTCTCTCTGAGCTTCTTTCTGCATCTGTAAATTCTCCTTCATGGTGAAAAGGGTTAGAAGAAGTACCTCACATATATGGAAAACACTCTGTCCAGTATCAAGAGCGTGGTAGCTGCCCCACAAATGGTGGTTTGGGCGGTTCTGTGTCTCCCTGGAGACCCGCGCCTCCCATCCTGGTGCTACACAGGACGGCATCTCTGCCCGGTCCTCAAACGTGTTGGCAGCAGGACCCCTAGCAGGCTGTGTGCATCCAGGTGGGAGAGACGTGGTGCCGTGTCTGAGGCTTACCGGTCCCGGAAGAGCAGGAGCTCCTTTCCCAGCATCGTCACGGCATCGAAGGAGGAGCTGGAGTCGCAGAGGTCAGGGATGGATGGACTTTGAGGGGGTGCGTGGGGCACGGTGGGCTTTCCCAGGAATGTCTTCCGGGGTCCTAGGATTCAAAGTGACTTGGTCAAAATGGTACCAGGAATCTAGCACATCCCCTTCTGCTCCAGAGACCCCCCTTGGGCTGTGTGGCAGGTGATAAGGCTCGTGGCTGTCTATGGCAGGTGGACCTGCATTTGAATCCCAGCTGCACTAGTTGTAGGGTTGTCTGATAAATGGGCACATCCGGGAGCCTCACCGAGCCTCCGTCTCTTCCTCAGTAAATGGGAGGGGGGAGGACAGGAGCTGCCTCGGTGGGCTTTGTGAGAACTCCTGTCTGTGAAGCCCTCGGGAGAGCAAGTGGCCCATACTGACTGTCAGAGCAATCGTGTCCTTTATTCCGTCACACTTAACTTCTCTGACAGCTGTGGATGCTCCAAACCAGAGATGGTTTTTAATAGTTGCCACTTTTTTTTATTCTTTTTTTTTTAAAGATTTTATTTATCTATTTGACAGAGAGAGAGAGAGCACAAGCAAGGGAAGCAACAGAGGGAGAAGCAGGCTCCCCGCTGAGCAGGGACCCCCCCCCCCGATGGGGGACTCGATCCCTGGACCCTGGGATCATGACCTGAGCCGAAGGCAGAGGCTTAACCCTCTGAGCCACCCAGGCGTCCCTTAACTTTTTTATTCTTTAAAAGTTGCCACTTCTATTTTTTAAAAATTATTATTTCTTGGTAGTTAAATTCTTTGTTCTCAATAAGATAACTTCCCCGTGTGTTTTCCTATAATTTTCCTCTACTTCTGGGTACCCTGCACGATAAGCCTTTTATCAGGCACCCAGGAAAGGCTGAGTCGTCCTTATGGCAAGAAGGTCCCCAGAGTGGCGTGCTGGTTCAGGGCACCTTCTGCTAGATCCTTCCATAAAGCGGGGGCCTGTGCCTTAGGGAGAGCTGTTGGGGGCTTTGTCCCACTCTGTGCTCCTGGAGACAATATGTCTTCTGCAGGAGGGGAGCTGGGGCTGGCTAAGCTGTTGGCGCTGGTGGCTCCCTGCCCTTGAGCAAGTCCCCATGGTGCCCAGAGGGACTGAGGCACAGGGAAGGACCCGTGAGAGAGAGATGGGTAAGCCCTGGGGTGGCACAGGGTCAGCAATGGGGTGAGGCTTTGGGAAAGGATCAGAAACGGGAAGGCGGCCAGGTCAGGAGTGTGCTGCCAGTCTTTGAACACTCCCTATGAGCCAAGCCACCTGCTAAAGGGCCAGAGGTGGCAGGGTGGCCCTGGGTGGGGGACATGTCTGCTCCCCGGCCACATCACACCATGCTCATGCATTCTGGTCACCTGTACAGAAATGGCATGTCAAAACAAATGCTTCTGTCCCCTGACTCCGTGACCATGGCCTTCAGCACAGTGGTGACCTTCCGTGTGGAAGGATCTGGAAGGGGCACGCAGGCACTGGGGCTCGGTCCCTCTCAGTGGCCCGCGGGGATTGCTTCACCTTGGAACCCTGCCACTCTGTTCTCTGGAGCCAAGTTTGCACAATGGAGGCATTCACAGCCTTTGTCTCTGTCACTCAGAGGAGGGACAGAGCTGCCATGGACCCTGTCTCTGAGGTGGGTAGAGCTGGCTGAACACTTCCCTGGATGACACGCATCTCCCATGGCTCAGCGGCTGTCTGCAGAGGTGTGTGCCCGTCCCCAGGCAGGCTGGCCAAGCTCAGGAAGATGGGCCAGCCCAGTTCTCCGGATCCCTTCCTGGGCTGAGAGGATGCCGAGAGCCTCCGACAGGCAAAGGCAGAGGAACTAGCCTCTGAGACTAAGGGGAAGGTCTGCTTCCTAGAGCCGTCTGCCTTTGATCCGTGAAAGCAAAAGGGCCAAGGTCTAAGAGCGCTCCAGGATTCCCTCTCAGGACTTCATGGGTCTGTCTGTGGTGAGGAAGGCAGGGTCTAGAGCTCCCAATACCTCTTATCACCTAGGGAAGAATGCTAACTCCTGAGAGCATCTGGACTATCTGGGACGCTTCTGTGTTTGAGCCTCAACTCTCCCAGCTGTCCTGGAGGGAAACACGGGGTGAGACGGTGAATCCCATGGCGCTGTGGCAAGGCGCAGGCTGCCTATGCGGTCGGCGGTCTGGGTCTTAGCATAGCCCTTGCCGTTTTCAGGAAGATAAGGTCAATGATCTGCAGACGGGTAAGAACCATATGTAGGAACTACGAAACACACCCATCTTCTCCCACTACCTAAACTTGGACCCGCACTCAACAAACCAAACCAAAAGCCCCCAAATCCGGACAGATGACGGCATTGTCTATGGCGCTTGAGGAACCAACGTGCTGTATCCCGTCTGGAAATGAGCTCTTCCTAAAAGGGCACAGGTGCGGCTACGGTCCCGAGCTTGACCTCTACCTGTGCAGGTGACTCCCGGGAACGGATACTTTCTCTAAGTGGGAGACTGAATGCCTGTGGCTCTCACGGTGAGCAGCCGAGGGAGGGCGTGCGCGTACCGTACAAGGCCTGGATCCCTTTCACGTCGTCCTTGGGCAGGTGGAATCCGTAGGGATGCTGGTACTTATATGTCGGGTACATTAGTGCTGACGGGTCTGTGGAGTGGGCCAGGCCCAGGGCGTGGCCGAATTCGTGGGCAGCCACGGTGAATAAGTTGAAACCTACAGGAGAGGAGACAGAGAAAGACAACCTCCACTCAGGGTTTTGTTTTCAGTGTCTTCCGTCTTCACAGAACGGATGCCCCAATCACAGTGAACTTGTTTTCTTTTCCTAACCAGATTCTTCAGAGGCTGGTGGGTTATTCTGGTGCTGAGGATTCCCTGGTGCTCCCCCCCTCGTCTAGAAGGGGCTTCGGAGTGGGGAAGGCTGGAAATGTCAACCAATCCATTTCGTTCCTTGTCAGCAGCCCGGGATCCAAAAGGGCCTCATTACAGCCACCAGGGGCTGTGAGACATGGATCAGACGGGCATGAGATCCTGGGAGTTTAAAACCCATTCCTGTCACACTGCTCTGTAGAGCACAGATTCCCCCCAGTCATCTAGGAACAGAGCCCACTTCCAAGTACACGTGAGACAGTAAATGCTACAGAAAGAAAAAGAGAGCCGTGCCGGGGAGGGCTCGGTCCTCCTCGAGATCACAGGCAGGAACCAGAGCTCAGACAAGTGTATGGCACATGGGAGGGGGGTCTTTTCCCTTATGGAGTTCCCTTTTGGATTTTTGGCTTACTTGTTTTCCTAGCCAGCCTCCCTAGTTAAAGAGTGGCTTGGGACGTTGAACCTCAGGGTTTCATGGTGGAGGCCCAGAAGAAGGTACAGTATTTTCCAGGTTATGGTGAATTGTGCATATATACCATTCATTCCCATAGTCCACTTCTCAGCATTGTCGAAATGGGTATCGCCTCCCAGGCCTTCCCCAGGTGCGAACGCGTGGGCGAGAGTCCCCCGAGGGCCATCGAACGGATAGGAATCCCCGTGATCTAAACGGGTGGGGAGAGACACCAACAGCAGTCAGTCCTCCTGGCAATTTTGGGGGCTTCACATTACAGGGAAGGGACACCTTTTTTCTTTTCTTTCTTTTTTTTTTTTTTTTAACAGCGTTGACACTTCTCATTCAAGATTTACTTTCCAATACTCATTTTTTATAAGAAGCTCACATGTCAACCAGTAATCGTCCACTGAAAAATTAGGAGGAGGGGCGCCTGGGTGGCTCAGAGGGTTAAGACTGTGCCTTCAGCTCAGGTCCTGATCCCAGGGTCATGGGATCGAGCCCCGCATCGGGCTCTCTGCTCAGCAGGGAGCCTGCTTCCCCGTCTCTCTCTCTCTGCCTCTCTGCCTGCTTGTGATCTCCGTCAAATAAATAAAAATAAAAATCCTTTAAAAAAAAAAAAGAAAAATTAGGAGGGATATTGGGCCTTTCAAAGATCATTAGCATTAAAAATAGAAAAAATGCTCTTTCGTGACTGTTTTCATTGCAATGTCTATGTCCTACAGACGTCTTACAGAAGGAGTGGGAAGCAGCCCGACAGGCTGGGATGTGCACGTGTGGGCGGGCTGAGTGTGTGAGTCTGGTGCAGCTAAGACAGTGACAAGCAGTGAATGGGGCAAGCGTGTTCCCTCTGTTTCTACTGGGCAAGACGATGCAGGGAGGTTTCCAGGAGAAGTTTCCTTGGGCATTTCGATATGCTTTCCTGTATCAGCTCATGCAAGCAGTAAAGGTGTCCCTAAAATCCTAACCTGTAGAGATTTCCATGTTTCTGTTTTCACTTATATTTAGCTAACGGCTTATTAGAAATTTGATAGAGGAGGAGAGAGAACATAATGAGGCATGTTGTAGAAGCCTTGGGGGGAAGAGAACCCGACACAGGCCAGGGCACACGCAGGGCCACCCTGAAGCGTTCACACCCAGGACCAGCATCACCTTCCCTCCCTTGCCTCCCCACCCCCAACACGTACGTCCTAGGACCTGAGACTCCCTGAAGGTCGAGACCTGAAGGAACAGGGGCCCTTGGCCACGGTGTCTGTGGAGGGAGGAGGCGGGAGTGCTCGCTCACCTTGGCTACTTGGAAGCTGAGAAGAGCTGAGCTGAGCTCCCTGGACAGGCTGCTCTGAAAGAGGCTCAGAGCCCGCCCCCACACCCTGTGCCCAGTTAGGCCTCCACGCCTTACCAGGGCGAGGATGGGGTGCAGAGGTGGCGGAGGTGGGGGAGGCCTGGGGACTCCGGAGGGTGTGGACAAGACAGCAACGCTGATCTCTTGACCCCTGCCACGGGGCGAACGTGGCCAGGGCCACTGTGGCGTGGACTTCCTCTGGTGGGGACTCCTGGTGGATACGGAAGGGGGTGTGTGGCAGGGAGCAGAGCCATGGGGATGAGGTCCGCTGGCCTCCTAGCCAACAAGGAAGCTAAATGGGACGACTTTGTCTCTGAAGGGACAGCACAGTGAGAGCAGAGCCCCTCTCCTGCCCCATCCAGCACAGTGGGACATGCTGAGAACTCCCCAGGTCCTGTGTCCAGGCCGGACATACCCATGACCTTGTCATGACCTTGGCCTCCACCCATCACTCTGTGTGGAAGAGGATCCTGGGGACTGCTTGCATTAAAGGCTGTAGAAGGAAACACGTCAGGGCTTGTCTCCTGTGGGTCAGGACGAAAGTCCGAGAACGGCCCCCGTACCTCCAGTTTCAAACGATATCATGATATCGGCCTCGCCCGCGTTCACCCTGACGAAACTCAGCGGCACGGCGCTGCTCCAGGCCTGCAAGGCCATCTCCACGGCTTTGTCCACCTCCGCCGAGGGCATGGAAGGTGTGTATTTGGATATTCTGTGGAAACAGAAGGACACGGTTTCCTCTCAGCGAGCGCCGGGCCTGAAGGCGTCCCGGCCCTGAGGTGGGGGGACGTGCGGCAGGGGAGCGGGGGTCTACCATGCGGGCATTTTTCTCCCCAACGGTCATGTTGTTTTGCTTTCGTATTTGCTCCTGGGAATCACCTGCCACTGAAACAGTTTGATTCTCCTTGTTGTGGGACTAACCCCGGATTTTAACCTTCCTGGGTGCAGCAGAGTGATGACCCTGTTTGGAGCCCGCCGCCTTAGGGACTCAGGCCGGTTGCCGCCCAAGCAGGGTGGAGAGGAGCCCCCGGCACTCTGCTCCGGGGCTGTGGACCCTCGCTGGACCGACCGCGGGGACTCGGGATCCCCCCCCGCCCCGGCTGAGCTGGGGCCTTGTAAGGACAGGGTCTGCGGCCAAAACTTCTCAAGTGAGGGCTTTGTAATTCCCACACTGTAAGCGCTCTCACGGGGGAAAATTTCAAGCCACCCACCACTCCCCCGTGGGGACAGCTGGGAAGACATGAGCAGCAGCACAGGGTCCCCCACCATAGCATGAAATGCAAACGGCCTCATGAACACAGATCCCAGGTACGTGTGGGACAGTGACGGAAGCAACGTTGGATGGCAGTTTATTTTTAATTCCATATAACATCCAGAATGTAATATGTAATAACTGGTGTATAAATATAATTTAATTGCAGGTATGTAGAGCTTAATTTTTAATAATGGCTCTGTTCAGCCACCAGCCTGCAGGGGTCTGGGGCGGTTGACAACTGGGTGCAAAACCCCAAACGGGTGGAGGCCGCCTTCTGGGAGCGGGAGGAGTGAGCTCCAGCACCGCCCTGTGGGGACTGCGGGAACAGCCCCGCCTTACCCCGGCCCCCGGTCTCGGCCAGATGTGCTCATCCGAAGAACAGACTCTGGCCCCGCGCCGGGCCTGGCTCTCAACTGCCCTGGGCAGCACCTGCCCACTGGGCCAGCCCATGGCATGCCTGGACTCATCTTGCCCTGGGAGAATCCTCGCTGTTAGCCAGGCCCGGGGAAAAAATGCAGGTGCAGGCTGCCCATTTGCGAGGCCACATCTGTCCAGCAGGTGCAAGGCCCAGGTGTGCAGCCTGCCTCCAAGCCGACCCTCAGGTGGACGAGGGCCCCCAGGAAGGAGGCCAGCTGGCTCAGCAGTGGGTCCCTGCGCCCCCTCTGGGTGCGACAACAGTTCTCTGCTTGGACCGGCAGGCTCACACCTGTCATGGGAGCTGCAAGGATCTGTTTGCTTGTGTGTCTCCTGAAAAGGTCCGTGAGGGTCAGGGAATGGGATTGACTCACCTTTGTATCTCCAAACTCGAATGTCTAGAGTAGGCATTTAATAAATCGTCAAAAAATTATTTTTGGAATTTTTATTACAACTGCTTTTTAATAGGTGAGTTTTCTTGTTTCCTTCTGATTGAGAAACTTGTTTTAAGAAAACTGGTCGGTACTGTCAGGTTAGTAATCTAAACTAGGTTATTTTTCTTTAAAGACAAATGTGTTGTCTCTAATTGATAAAATTACTTGTTGTGCCTGAAATGGCCAGCCATTGGAAAAACCCTGAGATATTTTGTAACGAGTCCTCCAATGTCCCCGTCTAAAGCTTAGCCCTAAAAAGTCTTCCTTACGGTGGTGATGAGTCAGGATTTTTATACGGATCGAAGGAGGATATTTCTAAAGGAAAAGAAAAGGAGAGAGGGTGTTTCTCTCTGACTTTGGAAAGACTGCATCTCATTACCTGTATGTCAAAGAATTTTTTTTCCATTTGGGTTCACCTGGGAAGAGGCGATAGTTTGCCACGTCGGGAACTCCGCAGCGAGGCCTCTTGATGACGTCCATCGTGGGCCGGTCCAGCTTCCCGGTGACACGGAGGCCGAAGAAGGCTTGCAGCTCCTTGATCTTCTTGACCAGGGCTCTGCCTCCTGCTGCCCCCATCTCGCCGACCTGGGGCCCTGCCTTCCTGGTGTAATACTTGTCAAGATAGTCCTGGAATGGAGAGGCAGGCTGACACAACTTCGAGAGACCCGCGCTCAGGTTAGAAAAAGGAACAATATCCCGACAAGCTAAAAAGAGCCGGGACCGCATATCCCCATCCTTGAAAAAAATTAGATATACTTGGCTCAAGAAAGCTTCTACAGAGACATTCAGCGTTATTGACAATGGTCACGTCTGGGTGGTGGGGATTCTATGGTTTCTTTTTTTTTTTTTTTTAACTCACTTGCATTTTATAGCTTTCCTAAAAGGACTGGTTATTCTAAGAGGAAAAAATAACGGAAGGAAATTAATGTGAACACTTTCCCCACAGAGCGTTTGTCATTGAAATCTTGACCCAATTTGCAAAACCAAGACTAGTGTATTTCCCAAGAAGACAGTCACCGGTATCATGTTTTCCCTGTACATTATGCAGGATGGATAGGATTTAATGCTCAGAGCCCTACTGTTGCTGCCTCTCATCTTATCCAAAGGCAGACGGCCCGTTCTGCTCCCTGCTGGCTTTCCATGGCTCAGTGAGCGGACTGTCTTCCAGGGCAGATTCCGCGACTGGCCCTTTGTCCCCCCGAGGCAAATAAAATTACCCATAGATTATAAGCTTTTCACATGCACATTAAGGCTTCAAACCTCTAAATTTATCATTCAAGACACTTTTCTAGGACTTCCTGGGTGGGGTGAGAGCCAGTGCCTGCTGCTGGCCAGGGGACTTCTACCGTCCGCCGTATTTCAGGGAAACACGGAACAGCTGAAGAATTGTATGTATGTTTTATTTTACGTAAAATTTTATATTTATATATTATACATGAGGCATTTACTTAGTGCGCGTAAATGTTCATCTATCACAGGAACTGTATATTTAGCTATTTTCTATATAAATTATGTGTAGGATTTCTGCTCTATGTGCATATTTACATACATAAATCATAAAGCACTAACAGCTCCCTATCTAACCGTAGCAGATTTGTTGGGTATATTATTACATATTCATATGAAGCAACACTAGGCCTCTAAGATCCCATTTTTGAAGAATATTTAATGGCATGGAAAAACACACTCAGTAGAATGACAATATAGAGGTAAAGTCTTTATACAGATTATAAGCATAATTCCAAAAATAAATGAGACACTATAATGTGTACATATTAAACTCCTGTTTGTTATACATGTATGCTAATATAAGGTTAATATGCAAATTAACATTGAAATTGATGTCAATTGATCTACTGATAATAAACATATGCATGGAATTTGTATGAACACGAGTAACATCAGTAATGGAAAGAAAAAGAAATAGGTCCGTACCAGACCTGTTTACCTCTGGGCTGTCATACTATGGGTGACGGCTTACTTTTCGTCCTTTCCTAGATCCCAAAGTTTTCTGCTGTGAACATGGACTGTAGTTGTTCAGGAAACAATGAAAGGATTGAGGTACGCTGGCTTGTTTGGACAAGGTGCTCCTGGTGGGGGGATGTCAGCTTATCCTCACCCTCCACCCTGCTGGCCGGGGAACCTCACTTCCCTGGTTGTGGTTCCTTGCAAGAATCTTTTTTTTATTTTTTAAGATTTTATTTTTCATTTATTTTATTTTATTTATTTATTTTTACTATGTTCAGTTAGCCACTGTATAGTTCCTAATTACTCCTTGATGCAGCGTTCAGTGATTTGGTACTTACGTATGACACCCAGTGCTCATCACAGCACGTTCCCTCCTCAATACCCATCACCACGTTACCCTCTCCACCCTCCCGTCTCCCCTCTGAAACCCCCACATTGTTTCTCGGGGTTTATAGTTTCTCATGGCTCCTCTCCCTCCCTGATTTCTCCCCCTTTGAATTTCCTTTCCTTCCCCTATGGTCCTCCTTGCAATCGCTTATGATCCACATATGAGTGGAACCATATGATAATTATCTTTCTTTGCTTGGCTTATTTCATTCAGCATCATCCCCTCCAGTTCCATTCATCTTGATGCAAACGGTGGGTAATCATCCTTTCTGATGGAGGCATCATACTCCATTGTACATATGAACCACATCTTCTTTATCCATTCGTCTGTTGAAGGACATTTAGGCTCTTTCCACAGTTTGGCAATTGCAGCCATTGCTGCTATGAACACTGGGGTGCAGGTGGCCCTTCTTTTCACTACATCACTATCTTTGGGGTCAATACCCAGTAGTGCAATTGCAGGGTCATAGGGAAGCTCTAGCTTAATGTCCTAAGGAATCTCCACACTGTTTCCCACAGTGGCCGCACCAGCTTGCATTCCCACCAACAGTGTAGGAGGTTCCCCTTTCTCTGCATCCTCACGAATACTGGTTGTTTCTTGTCTTGTTAATTTTAGCCATTCTGACTGGTCTGAAGTGGTATTACATTATGGTTTTGATTTGAATCTCCCTGATGGCTAGTGATTTTGAACATTTTTTCGTGTGTCTGATAGCCATTTGTATGTCTTTTTTAGAGAAGTGTCTGTTCATGCCTTCTGCCCATTTTTTGACATGATTATCTGTTTTGTGTGTCTTGAGTTTGAGGAGTTCTTTATGGATCTTGGATATCAGCCCTTTGTCTGTAGTGTCACTTGCGAATATCTTCTCTTATTCCACGGATTGCCTCTTTGTTTTGTTGACTGTTTCCGTTGCTGTGCAGAAGATTTTGATCTTGATGAAGTCCCAAAAGTTCATTTTTGCTTTTGTTTCACTTGCCTTTGGTGAACCTAAAGACACCTCCAGACTGACAGTGAAGGGCTGGAGAACCAGTTTTCATGCTAATGTGCCTCAAAAGAAAGCTGGATAACAATTCTCATGTTGGGCAAAGTAGAATTTAAAACGAGGACTTCAATAACAGATCCAGAGGGACACTGTTTTATTCTTAAAAGGTCTGTCCACCAAGAAGACCTAACAATTGTAAATATCTATGCCCCAACACGGGAGCAGCCACCTACATAAGCCAGCTGCTAACCGAAATAAAGAATCAGACAAGAATACATTAACATTAGGAGATTTTAACGCTCCTCTCTCAGCACTGGACAGATCAACTAAATAGAAGATCAACAACACAAAAACAAGAGTTCTGAACGACACATTGGACCAGTTGGACTTTGTAGATACTCACAGAACATTCCACCCTAAAACAACAGAATACTCATTCTCCTCTAGTGCACATGGAACTTTTCCCAAAATAGACCACATACTGGGTCACAAATACCAAATCAGGTCTCAGCCAATATTAAAAGACGGATTATTCCCTGCACGGTATCAGACCACAATGCCTTGAAACTAGAACTCGATCGAAAGACCAAATTTGGAAGGAACTCAGACGCTTAGAAGTTAAAAAGCATCCTGCTAAAGAAAGTTTGGATCAACCAGGAAATCAAAGAAGAATTTAAACAATTCATGGAAACCAATGAGGACAAAAACACTTCAGTTCAAAACCCATGGGATATGGCAAAGTTGGTCCTAAGGGGGAAATACATAGGCACCCAAGCCTACCTCAAAAAGTAGAAAAATCCTGAATGGACAAGCTAGACTTGCCCCTACAGGAACTAAAGAAAACCACAATGGAACCAAAGTGGAGCAGAAGAGAAACCACTCACGGCAGACAGTGGTGGCTGCTGAATTCCTATAAACCACGGGGTGGGACGAGAATTCTTTCTCGTCACTGGGACCCACTCTAGCCGTTTGCTCAGATCATGCTAGCTTGCTCAAGGGGATGCCTTTTTCCTGCCTGGGGCTGGTGACTGGAGCTGCTGCGGGAGAAGATGCAGTTTGCCAAGTTCCCCTGGTCCTCAGAGCAGGGTCTTTCTGAGCAGGTTGTAAGGGAGCCCGAGGAGAGTGGTCTTAGTTTGGAGCAGAAGTCGTCAGGGACCCCCAGCATCCCAAAGCCACTTCAGGCTTTCCAAAGGCTGCTAGCAAGCCTATCTTTCCCGAGACTTTCTGTCTCTTTCCTGCATAGACTGCTCAGGGCTCAGCTACTTTTTGCTGTGAAGGGCCGCTCGTATTTTCAGTTCCACCATCCTCCGCCTCTGCGGTGTAGACACAGGTGATATGTGGACGAGAATGCGAGGCCGGTTTGACCCCGTGACTGTGGTTTGTCTGGACCCGGACAGGAATCACAGTCTCTGACGCCCTCATGTGGGTCACGGCCTCAGCATCACCCTCCTTCCGGAGGTCCCAGCAACTCTAGCCTCTGAGTCAGAGCGGCATGACGCCAGGTGTGGGAAAATTACATTTCGGGAGAAGGGACCCAGAGCTACAGGGTACCCATGAAAGTCACAGTTTGAAGTAGACCCTGAATTCTGAGATACGTTACCGCGAATTTAGTTTGCCTGGCAATGGGCTGTAGTCAGAAGGTCAGGTTCAGAGCTCTGTTCTTGGCATCCGCTACCTCGTTCATAAGCAGGGCCGATATGAAATGTTTAATGACTGGTGGGGGGGTGCCGACTAATGAGCGTGGATGGGTGTGCAAGCAGTCGGCGTGTGCGTGTGCACCGGTGGAGCGTGCCGGGCAGGAAAGTCGACAGACAGCCGTTAGGTCCTGGCCCACACACGTCTCACCCAAACACGTCTCACCCGCACACATCCCTGAACATTGGGAGTTTCATGGTCAGACGTTTTCCCCCAGATTTTAATGTAACCCTATACCCAACACGGGGCTTGAGCCCCCAGCCCTGAGATCAAGAGTCACATGCTCTGCTGACCGAGCGGTCTGGGCATCCCTGGGGAGATTTCTTTAGATGACATCGTCACCTTCCCTTAAACGCCACAAACGCTTGGAAGCAAATAAACATTGAATCACGTGGAGTCACATAACTGTTGCAAAAATTCTAACGTGAATTATTTATATCACATCCTTCCCAACCAGTTCAGAGAGACCTTCAGAGAGGAACATACAGAAAGTGGCCATAAGTAAGGTCCTTGGGAACATGTCTAGAGAGGAATGGCTCTCAGGCAGAGCGGGTAGGCGCCCGGGACAAACGGTTCACATTGTACTGGGATCGAGCTGGCGCTGAACGCTGGGGCCGTTCTCCAACATGTGAACCCAGGACCATTCTCTGGTGGCCGCCAGACACTTAATGTGTCACTGACCATCCGCCTTGCAAGGGTGGGACTTACGCCTCGGGGGCTGTTTTCCTGCCCTGATTCCCGCCAACACTTGCCGTCTGATACTTGCTGTTTCTGCCTTGCATGGGTTTTGCAAGTTGCTTCAGTTTCAGTAGGAAACTCGCAACCTGGAGGCTGGTTTATGCCGTTGCCTCGTGCACCCCCACATGCACCTGACATGGGTCCTAGCTGTCTGGGGGGCAGTCTCTCCTCAGCTCCGGGCCTCTCAGAGGGGTCTCAAAACAGTAATGGATTTTTCCTTGTTTTCTCATTATACCCTTGTAGGTTTTCCGGCCCGGGCGGAGGAATTGTGTAAAGACTCACAAACCTGTGCAAGGTGGTAGTTGTTCCGTGAGGTCCTGGGGGTGGCTGCAGACAGGGAGGGGGCGGTGGCAGACAGCTCGAGGGCCGTGAGGAGCAGCAGAGCCAGGCCCGGTGCGGGGAGCACCTTCATCTCCTCGGGGCGGCTCGGGGATGCGATCAGCCCGGGCGAGGCCGACCGACCCTGTGCGTCTGCCCTTGGCCCTCGAGCTGCTTTTATAGCCTCCTGCAGGTCTGGGCCCCTGGAGCAAGGATGACTCATGTCTCAAAAGGTAATTATACAGCTCGCTTCTCCGCCTGGTGATGGGGTAACAGCAGGGTGCACAGGAGTCGGGGAAAAGCTTCATTCCTTGTGATTTACCAAGTCCCCAGAGCAGAAAAACATTGAGTTTTCGTGAGGTTGGTCAGCTGCTTACACAGATTAGGGTGAACTTGATTAATTTTAACCCAATCCGATGGGAACGTTGGTGAGTCTTGGTGTGGGGCTTTCTTCCACTCTGAGGACACAAGAGGTCCGTGATTAGAATATGGTTTAATTCCTCCCTGGCAATCCGGTCCCTTCCCCAATCAGTGGACCGCGGAAATCTGCTGCATCCTCTCGGGCGTTCCTCAGCATCGAGCAGGATCCTGAATCATCCGGGAGACATTGCCTTAGCCTGTGTGGACTCATGGTGGGACGTAGCCTCCCAGCTGTCAGAAGAGCCTAGAACAAGCTAACGTACGAGATGCATCGCAGTCAACTGGAAGGGAGCACTCTGGTTTCCTGGGCTCCCTGTCTCCCCCGGCTCTGATTAAGACAGGTCTCCATCTAGAGAGAGCTCAGAGAAATGGTTTTTACAGTGGGAAAAGCACTTTGGCACCAAAGGCAGATGCAGTTTTAAGAACTTCCTCACTCTGTGACTTTGGGCAGGTCATGTAACCTCTCTGAACATGGGTTTTGTGTGTAGGTGCGTGTGTTTCAATCCGCAATGACGGACAGCAGTCGGGCGTGTGAGCTCCTCAGTGCTGTGGCACAAGCTGGGCGTGCCGCGCGGTGTCTGATGACCACTTGGCATCCAGTGGACATATTCAAATCCCCGTTCTGACACCTGTCCCCAGGACTCGGGGCAGGTTACTTGGTCTCTTTTGGCTGTGGTATTTTCATCTGTAAAATGGGGGAAGATACCTGCTCGGTTGGATTGTCATAAAGGAGTACATCAGGTCAGAAGAGAGCCCCAAGCACGGGGCTCAGCGGACTCCCGCTCCGATGGGGCGATGTTGGACTGAGCTCCTGACTTCGGTCCCCGGCAGGTCTGAAGAAATGCCCTTTGAGTGGATGAAGGGTTGACTCGAAAAGGGGTTCCCAGAGTGTGGTTCCTGGACCCGCGGCATCACAGTTCCCTGAGGATGTCTTGAAAAAGCTCATTCTCAGCCCCACCCAGACTTACTGAAGGCGGCGCAGCGGTCTGTGTTTTCACGAGCCTTCCGGGTAACTCTGGTGCACGGCGAGGCTGGAAAACACTGCACCGGCTGAGCAAGTGGCATCGTGAGGGCTGGGACGAGCGAAACAGTGTACAAACAGTGCCGGGAATATTGCAGACGCAGAAAGCACTCAGTACCGCCCTGCGATCCGGAGCCGCGGTTTTTAGTGGTGACACACTGTGTGTTTGAACGTCATTTGTGAAGTTTGTTGCAAACAATTTATTACTAATACTTGTTAAGCCATGAAAATGTGTAAATGACTTGCCTTCTCACTTAGACTCGATTCGAGGTTATTCCTGTAGTGACCTCTCTCTCCCGGTCTCTCCCTTTCTCCTCAATCGCAGTGTGCGGAAACTGCAGAGACTGACAACGGACAACTCATACATCACTTACACATTAGTGGGAGTAAGTTTCACCGCAAGGCCAGTGTGAGGCAACATCCTCGACCTTTCAAAACAGAATGACAAGCCCAGGCTGATAATTTCCCACTAGGTGTTTCCTTTTCCTGATTCTCTTCTTCTTTACAAGGGAGCAAAGTCTGCTTTCTTTCTGTCTTTCTTATATTAAATCTAAATTTAAATCCAGATGGTTCCAACCCACAGAGATCCTATCAAAGCCAGTCTAGGACTGGAAGGACGTGAAATGAGAGACTCTATCACAGAAGACAGCAGAGTGAGTCGTATCTGCAGAAAAATAGTCCACACGGGACAGGAGGTGGGGAGCCTCCAAGCAGAGGCACCTGCAGACTTTCCAGAAGTTTCCACGTGCTACTAAGACACAGGAAGAAAGGTTTTAAATGACAGGATTAAGTGCTCCACGCAGAGCTGCTTCTTGCCAGGTCCCCGCTGATTCAGTCCCATGTTTTTGTTTCTGAGACGGTGCTGAGGTGCCCATGATGGGCTGAGAATGACTGTCAGTTGGGCTGAGAATGACCGCCTACTTGTCTTACTTCAACGAGAGGCATAGACTTTGTATTTACACAGACCTAGAATCAAACATTGACCCGACCACTTTCTAGATGTGTTAGCTGTTGGCATTTTGAGCTGTGAAATCCAGTTTTGGCTAATTTAAAAGAAAACTTTTTCCCCCCAATTTTATTTGTTTGAGTGAGAGAGAAGGAGCAGGAGGAGGAACAGTGGGAGAGAGAAAGAAGCAGGCTCCCCACTGAACAGGGAGCCCGACGTGGACTCGATCCCAGGACCCTGAGATCACGACTTGAGCCGAAGACAGATGCTTCACTGAGCCCCCCAGGTGCCCCTTTTTGGAAAAAAAAAATGAGGTAGCCCAGACAGCACCAGGCTGGGAGAACCAGTGGGACCAAGGGTGGTAGAAACCAAAACCAAGAGAGATGTTTCTGGGGCCCCAGCTTCTTATCACTGGACAGTTTTCCCAATGAGCGGCTCAGGCCGCTGCGGCCGGGCTCCTGGTTCTCACTGTCTTTGCCTCATTCCCTTGGCGCCCTGGGAGTATCTCCCAGAGAAGAAATCTGTGCTGGCGACCAAAGAACACATCAAAACTCAACCAGAAAATGTCCCCCACAATCTGGGAAGCCTCCCAAAATGCCTCCTGCTTTGACACATGCAGGACGAAACCTATCTCAGAAGGATGTTGAGAAGTTTCAAGGGGCTCATGGGTGCTCAGCGCTCAGTTCAGGTCACAGACAGGAAACTCCAGAATTACTTTTGGCCACGAATTGCAAAACTGTCCCAGAAATATTGTGATGTGTTAATAAAAAATGAATTTAAGACATTTTCTTACTTCTAAGATACTATTGTTCCTCGAACTGAGCATTGATTAAGATAACCATTGTGGAAGAAGTAGAGCATTAGGTCATTAAATGTGTGCGTCGACATACTATAGGTTAGGCGCCTGTCGTCTGTCCTTTACCGCTAGGATGAGATTTCCATGAGGATCAGGGTCTGTTCTGTCCGCTGCATTATCCCTAGTACTTAGGACAGAGTCTGGCACAAAACAGGTGCTCCCAGCGCTTGTGCGTGGATGAATGCCTGAATGAGTGACTGAATGACAAAATCAGGAAGAAGAGAAACAAGACTGTCCTCGGAGGATACATTTCAAATCATCCCATATAAGGAATTAAACAGAGGGGTGTAGCCCTCCCCTAAGGGGTCAGAACTTTTATTAAACCCATATTATATGCCAGACATGGAATCAACCACCAACAACTTTAAAATATCTCATTTTTTAAAAAAGATTTTATTTATTTATTTATTTGTCAGAGAGAGAGAGAGAGAGAGAGAGAACGTGTGCATAAGTGCACAGAGAGGCAGGCAGATTTGGAGAGAGAAGCAGGCGCCCCGCTGAGCAAGGAGCCCGATGTGGGACTTGATCCCAGGACCCTGGGATCATGACCTGAGCCGAAGGCAGCTGCTTTACCGACTGAGCCACCCAGGCGTCCAAGATATCTCACTTTTCAACTGAAGAGTTGTCTCCAGGATTTTCACCCAGACCTGCTGGAGCTCAAAGCCTGTGCCCTTGCCCTCGGGGGCTGGCCAGCAGACTGCTGGGCCCCCTAGGGCTCCTGTGGAGTCTTGTTTGCCCCACAGAACATGAGCAAGCAGACCCAGCGCTCTGACTGGTGATGCTCTTTCTCATTGCAAACAATCCAATTGTTTTTCTGGTTTTTATATTTCATTCTCTAATAATCTAGCTTTCCCAAGGTATTAAATTTCTGGATTTCCAAGGAGTTCAGTCCCAGCCTGGAAGACTGCCCCACGGGGGGGCCAGCGTCCAGCAATTGGCCCCCAGCTGGCCTCAGCCCCTTCCCAGCCTCCATCCTTTCTTCAGACGCCTCCAGTAAATACAGACCACTTTGAACCCCGGATTTCTAAAAATTGATTTATTTAACTTGTCATTCATGTAATATTTTATAATTATATTACAATTTTTTAAAGCTTAGAAATTTTTGTTAGGGTGAGAGAAAAATCTTATTTCAGCAGTAGATAAGGGGGAGTGGAGGGGAGAGGGGAAGGGGCGGTGGAGAGGGGTGGGAAGAAAACAGACCTACCTATGCCATAGATGAGTTTGGTTAGAGAGATGGACACAACCTTTTGATCTAGCCATTGCTAGTTTTAAAATGAGCTATGATGTAGTGAAAAGAAGGGCCATCTGTACCCCAATGTTTATAGCAGCAATGGCCACAGTCGCCAAACTGTGGAAAGAACCAAGATGCCCTTCAATGGATGAATGGATAAGGAAGATGTGGTCCATATACACTATGCAGTATTATGCCTCCATCAGAAAGGATGAGTACCCAACTTTTGTAGCAACATGGACGGGACTGGAAGAGATTATGCTGAGTGAAATAAGTCAAGCAGAGAGAGTCAATTATCATATGGTTTCACTTATTTGTGGAGCATAACGGATAACATGGAGGACAAGGGGAGATGGAGAGGAGAAGGGAGTTGGGGGAAATTGGAAGGGGAGGTGAACCATGAGAGACTATGGACTCTGAAAAACAATCTGAGGGGTTTGAAGGGGCGGGGGGTGGGAGGTTGGGGGAACCAGGTGGTGGGTATTGGAGAGGGCACGTATTGCATGGAGCACTGGGTGTGGTGCAAAAACAAGGAATACTGTTACGCTGAAAATAAATAAAAAATTTAAAAAAATAAAAATAATAAAAAAAATAAAATGAGCTATGAAAGGAGTTTGTGG